AGATTTTGTGAAAACCCTGGTGAAGTGGTACATGCCTATAATCCCTGTGGCTCTGGAGGCTGAGGCAGGAGGATCACAAGTTCAAAGCCAGCCTCAGCAATTTAGGAATGCCCTAAGCAACTGAGCAAGACCCTGTCTCTAAATAAAAAATAAATGGGCTGGGGATGTGGCTCAGTAGTTAAGTGCTCCTAGGTTCAATCCCTGGTATGTATGTATGCACATACATACGTAAAATAAAAAACAACAAAAGAAGATTAGTGTCTTTTGAAATTATGTTAAATGGCTCTAACTGACCATACCCAAATGTATATTCCATGTATAGTCCAAAACATATTGTACCTCAGAAATATGTACAATTTTTATTAACCAATTAAAAGTAAAAAAATTTTAAGGCTAAAAGAAATTATTAAATAAGATCATAAATATGAGGTTCTAATCTGATAGGACTGTGGCCTGATAAGAAGAGGGAGAGAGGTAACTGTCTATCCATCATGGGAAGACATAACTATCCCTGTGCCAGCAGATCCCTCACTCGAAACTGCATCAAGCACCTGAATCTTGAAATTCCCAGCCTCTAGAACTTGAAAAATACATTTGTATTAGTTTAGCCAAAAGAAAAGAAATTCCACAGATATTTCAGTGAGAAGTTTAAATGTCAGTATAAAAATATTTTAATCACCTTTAATATCATCTGCCTTACTCTTTCACACTATTTTAATTTCAAATTTTTAGTGTTAACAATTCAATTGATCATGTCCATAGGAATCAAGCTATTATTTTTACTGACTGAATCCTGAATCTGATCCCCACATTTATGTAATCTGATTTTTGGTTGTAAACCAAAAAAACAGAAAAAGAAAAATCCATTCACTAATGGAATTAAGGGATTTGTGTGTGTGTGTGTGTGTGTGTGTGTGTGTGTTTTTACTATATACTATGTAATACACTGGGGTCACAGTCCCTGCTCTTATGTAACTTGTGAACAGAGAGTTTATATTCCACCAATAGTGGCTTATGATTTAGTATAGGCTAAGTTCAGCCACTTTGGTTTGAATTGTGGTTCAACCATTTAGCAGCTTGGTGATCCTTATAAAATTAATTACATTCCTTACAGTCTCAGTTTCCTCATCTCCACAATGGGGTAAGTAAAGATTTAATAAAGTAGTCAGAGTGACTGTTCGGCACTAATAGCCTAATTGTTGAAGTGTTTATTCAGAACATTTCCTGTGCTACGCAAGGCCTTGTGCATCGTGCTGTGTGGGAATTGCCTTCTAGAATTGGAAGTCACTCGTGAGTGTTTCAGCCCAATGAAGTCAGTCTTACAGAACTAACAATTCCTCTGGTGCTTAGTGTGTATTGCTTTTACTGTTAACTATCTAAAATATTTGTGTTCTGATGATGAAAATGTTGCAAAAGTATTTGATACAGAAATTCATAAAGAAGAATATGATCATAAATAATACCTTCCTGAAATAATAATTGTTTTACAATTGATAGATATACTTCCAGTAATTTTTCTATGTATGTGCATTTTTTTTTGCTTTTATAAAATAAAGTTCCAGTTGCATTGTACTTTAAAAAGAAAGAAAACTACACTAATTAAAACACTTTTTTCACTCAGTTCTTTGTTTTCTTATGACATGGTTCTACAACATGGTATTTAATTAATATCTAGACTTTATAATCTTCCATTTTTTAAACACTGAGATGACTTCATTTACATTAAAGGTTTTTACTTTTATATCTTAATATGTAAACTGTTACCTCTCCCGTCAGACTGTGAATGACTAGAAGGGTAAGAAATGTAATTTCTTTCTCAATATTTTCCACAAAGCCATACACTCAGGAAAACTCGATAAACCATGGTTGGTGGATTGTTTGGACAATTCTGAATGCAAACCAAAGCTGGTATGTCCCGTTCTCTTCTGGTTTTCATCTGGTATCTCTTTGAAACTATAAGTAGATATTTACTGGGACTCTATTCAACAACTATTTAAAGTTAAAGTTGTTTACACTCATCTAAAAATCACACTTAACATTCAAAGTATTTTACAAATGAATTTTGTCATTTTAGGACTCAATTTCTTAAAAAAAATTGATGTGCTCTATCTTTAATAATTTAAAAATAATTTCCCATAAATTCTCAAAAATTGAAAATGTTCCATGTAAAATTATTACGAGTAGATTTCTTTGACAGTAAGTCTAAATCCTAAATTAAAACACAAAATTGAAAGGAAAAATTAGATTCTGATTTGTGATTTAATTAATCACCCATGAATAGAGAAGCAATCCAATTGCTTTTTTTTTTAATATTTATTTTTTAGTTTTTTTGGCGGACACAACATCTTTGTTTGTATGTGGTGCTGAGGATCGAACCCGGGCCGCATGCATGCCAGGCGAGCGCGCTTCCGCTTGAGCCACATCCCCAGTCCCCAACTGCTTTTTGACTCTGTTTGAAGGCAGATCTAGTCTGAAGAAACTGAAAACTGGGATCTATGGCAACTGTAGGAAACTGAGGAGAAGCTTCAGGATTCCCAATTGTTTAAGGCATTTAACAGGAATGCATCCAGGAGATTTCATTATTGGAGGAAGCATGTGATGTAGATTCCGCAAATAAAGTGTGACACTATGGCACTTGGTAACAATGTGTTAATTTTAATAACATATTTTCTCCCAAAGATCACTAATTATATTTTGCTTTTTTCCACCTGAATTCTGGGCAAAATTCTGTTTATTATTGTCATGTTTAGTGGCTCAGAGTTGGCCATTGGGAGCTCCTTCAAACTGACTCCTATGTTATTTATGTTTCTTCATCTATTTGGGACCCTTTGTTGATATCTGGAAGAATACCTTCAAGATTTTTCTTGTACATTTCCCTCTCTACCTAGAATCAGTCATTTCTCAAAGGAGCTATGTTTCATTTTAATGGAAATTAATATGTAGAAATCAAGACGAAGAGGTTCTCACTGGTACATTGACAGGCCCACGTTGTGGACAGAGTTTGTACATACACACACACAATGTCATGATAACCAATTCCAGCCTAGTAGCTTAGAGTTCTTCCTTCCACTCCACCCATTTCTAACACCAGTGAATTTAATCATTTGCTCTACCCCATAATACGTACACAATAGTTTTTAATTTGCTGCTCTAACTCCACTAGCAACAAACTATACAGATGAAGTTCAAGATTTTGTTACTTCTTTTTGTATCCAGAAATACATTTATAGGGAAGATAAGTCAGAATACTGCAACCTAAGTTACTTGAATTAATTTCTTACTCGGTAGAGAATATCATATTGTCAGAATTCACATACAGAATAATCCAAAAGTCAGATTTTTCCATCCCTGCAATCATTTGTACCATGACTAGGATGGCCCATATGGAGCCAGGCAAAATGAAGAAATATTGGAAGAAGTATTACTCAAAACTGGCCTCTGCAAAAACCAAGGAATAAGATACTTCTTTAGTTTCCGTTATTATGAAAAACAAAACAAAGAAAAATTCTTAACATACCTTATTTGATGAAGCATTTGCTTTTTGTTGTAATTTGGCCTTCTGTTTATAAACCTATGCATGGGAATATGAATTTATTTCTAGTTATATCAACTGCAAAATGCCAAAGAGCTATCCAGCCAAAGGTGCATAATAAACAATAGGAAATGTGGGTCTGGAGCTTAGCCAACTGGACAGAATTACTGGCTATTCAGTAATAATTAAAGCTATGGGAGTAAATAGTGTAATAAGGGTAAGATTGTGAGAAAGAGAAAGAAGGGGTCAAGAATAGCCTCTTGGGAAAAGTATTTCCAGCAAATGAAGAAGAGGAGGTGGTAAATAAGAAATGGAGGAGGCCAATAATTTTTTTAAAGGAACAGTTTTTATAGGCTCAACAGCTACACATCTGTATAGATTGCTAAGTGTTTTCATGGTTCAGAGGATGATACCCCAAAGTACGATACTGTGGCATGTTGAATACTTCCAACTGAAGGGCAGTGGAAGTGTCCTTTCTTCCCCAATGGGTGTCACTGATACCAGAGTTCCTCCCCTCCAAGGCAGGTCATAGAAATTAGAACTTCTTTCTCCCAATCAAGCCGTAAGACCTAGAAAGGTCATTCTTTGAAGGACCTCCACTGAAAGTCAGTCATAATGTTTGGGGAGGGACAAATGAGGATGGTGGGAATAAGAGGTTCACAGAACAATTCGATAAAATGGGCCCACTATGCTGATCCCCTGTGCTTTCTTTGCCAAAAAGCAATTTACCTGCAGTCCTTCCTAGCCTATGTGGATAAGATATGTCACCTTCCTCAGCAAACTACTTGTTATCTACAAGGAAATGCAGGAAGGAAATAAGTTGATAAGAGGAAACCAAGTTACTTTGAAGGGAAAGATTTTAATGATCCTTTTCACAGACCAGATTCTGGAAGATAAGATAATTCCTCCTAACCATAAAACCTGTAAAAATGATTAATAATCCAGTTAGAACTGCTCAGCATAGGCCAAAGTGATCTAGAATTGTCATGGCAATTGATACTTGAAAGTCTGATGTCACCCTGCTATCAGCCAAAAATCAAGAGGTGGACCTGGGTGGGACTCTCTGGAAACATCTCTGGGATCCCGGATAAAACTGGAGTGCAGGAAGGACACATTGCCCCTCTCCTGAGAGGACCCACTTTCTCCCTTGAGAGTGTCCCTTTCCATTTTCCTATCCTTGCAATCAACTCATATGTCTGAAATCTGAGTTGATTGCAAGAATCGAGGTTTGAAGGGTAGGTCTTTGCACTGCCTCAGTTTCTCAGAAGGCCCCAACTCTGTAACCATAAGATGGATGTCCTGCTTTATACCCAAAAGAAAGGAACGCCACACAGAGAGGCCAAGAAGAATCTGAACAAACAGGCCTTGAAAGATTCCCCAATTTATTACCATCAGATTATACCCTCTTTGTTCAATCATGTTTCTTCTCAACTATCTGCTTCTTTCATCAGACTTAGCATAAGTTATGCTTATAATTGAGAATAAAGAGGACTTTGCTGTATTAGAACGACACATAGAAGATTCACATGGCTCCTGTGCAAGGATGACATGCAAATTCGTGAAGTGTTCCATATTTTTGTTTTCTCTGATATGTGGATGCCAACAATAAGCGGGTGGCTAGGGAAGAAGAGAGTTACTTTGGATTAGGTAGAGGGAAGTGAAGTGAGGAGAGCGGGGTATGAGGGTAGAAGGGATAGTAGAATGAATCAGATATCACCCTATGTACATATATAACTAACTATATGACCAGTGGGATTCCACATTGTGCACAACTGGAAGAATAAGAAATTATACTCCATCTATGTATTATGTACCAAATGCAATTAAAACAAATAAAAATTAATTTAAAAATAGAGAATGTCACTGACCAATTGTAAATTCTTGAAGTAATTATTTTATGAATGAGCAATGACTTGGAAACAATGTGTGAATATAGAGTAATGTGGTATAGTTGATTTTGTTACTAGCATCTCATTCAAATTTACATATAAATAAAATCTTTCAAGAAAATTGCCAATGAGATTACAACATAATATCTACAGGCATTTTTCAGTTTGAGCACCTGTTATGGTTTAGATATGTGTCCCCCAAAATCTCATATATAAGACAATGAAAGATGATTTAGAGGTGAAATGATTAGATTCTGGGAGTCTTGACCTAATCAGCGAATTAATCCTCTGATACAGATTAACCGAGTGGTATCTGTGAGGAAGTATGGTGTGGCTGGAGAAGGTGGGTCCCTGGGGATGTGCATTTGGGGTGTATAGTTTGTTGTGTAGACCTCTCTCTCTCCCTCCCTCCCTCTCTCTCTCTCTCCCTCCCCCCCCCCCTCCCTCTCTCTCTCTCTCTCTCTCTCTCTCTCTCTCCTGCCTGGTATGGTGTTTTAAGCTACTTTTGTCCACCACAGTCTTCTGCTATAATGTCTTGCATCATGTTGAGCTCCAAGAAATGGAGTTGGCCATCTATGGGTGGAGACCTGAAACCATGAGCCCCCAAATAAACTTTTTCTCCTCTAACTAATTATTCTTGTCAGTTTTTTGGTCCCATTGGTGAAAAAGCTGACTAAGACAATACATAACTATCAGCTCCTAAAAGAGTTTGAATCTCAAGATTTTGTCTTGATAAAGTATGTATGAATGAAGAAATAATATTTATAACAGAAAAAGATGCTCACAAAACAGATCTTTATATTTTGACCGATCACCTCTTCAGGATGAACATCATTTTCTGTTTTTTATAACAATGATATAATTCATAAATAGTTTATTTTAGCCTCTGATTACTTGGTAAGCCAAGGGTTTGTATTATACCTTTCTAAATAAGTAATGTACATGTAATTATGAGAGTAATTGACAAAAACATGAGCCAGTCAATTTAAACTGTTAATATTAAGTAAAGGCAACAAATATGAAAACCAAACAAAATTATTTTGACACCAGTTTACCTATTTAGTAAATAGGGAAAATTACTGTAAATATGTAAAGCTATTAAATGGTTCCTTAGAGCTTTCCACGTGTGTTTAAAGTAGTACGTGCTGCAGTTAGTGGCAAGCTCTAGACTTGCTTACAATGGCAGCTCCCCCAAAGGCACACAGGGGAGTGCTCTGGGGAACATAAATTACACAAATGCAAGACAGGAATAATTGAACTCTCCACAAAAAAGAAGAAGATTGCTAGAAATGAGGTGGCAAAGGGTAATTAACAGAGAACCATAAGATGAGTTGAGTAAATACATAACTGAGGACACTGAGGAGCACATAATGCCATGTTACTCTACTGACAAAGGACACATGTGGAGTAAGTAAAGAGTTGCTTCAGTTAAGCTTCTGAAGGATCAAGTCCATAGAGCATTTTGTTTTAGGTTACAGCTCTTAAAGAGATGTGGAGAGAATAATAAAATTCCAGAGAAGAAAAGAGCAATAGTCAAATGCTAAAAGGTTGGTTTTAAAAATTCTTTTTTTTCAATCTTAAAAAAGAAGAAAATGGTAGTATAAAGCGATGGATCTCAAATGTTCTGGTGTCAGAATATCTTTGCACCAACTTTTAGAAGTATGAAGTACTCTGTCTTGGCTCCAATATATCAAAACGTAAGAAGTTTTCATTTACATCCTTGTAAGATAGAAGTAGACAAGCTGAAAATTAGGAATTTTCCCTGGACCCCTGAGACAACTGGAGAGAAAGCCATGGCCAAAACCAGTTTAACTTGAAAAGTTAATGCAGCCATAAACTAGCAGGAATACTTAGATAGCAATTTTGACAAGCACTGGAGGTTGAGTGTGGACCAGCCTGAGAGTGAGAACTTCCTGAATGTCAGAGTTTGGGGAGTCTATCACATTCTCTTGAATATACTTCTAGGAACCATGTAAGGTAAAGACCAGGGATGATTTTTATAAGGTTAAAAAAAAGTCCTGGAAATACATTTCACAACAATATGAATATCCTTAACATTACTGGATAATACACTCAAAAATTGACAGGATGGTGAATTTTATGCTATGTGTTTACCCAATAAAAGAATCAGACAGCATTCGTATACACAAATGACAACCAGTTAGAAGAGAAAATAAATGAGAGAATCCCATTTGTAATAGTAACAAAAGATATAAAGGATAAAATATACAGAAGTAAATTTAATAAGAAATGTCCAAAACTTCTATGAAGAAAATTACCTAAACATTCCCAAAAGACACAAAAATAGACTAGAATAGTGTTTTTTAAAAGAACAGAAATGACATTTTATTAGGATTTTAAAAAAAGATATATATATATTTTTTTTTTTCATTTTGTGAGAACTCTCCTCTAAATTTTGTGTTTACATGTAAAATATATGATCATACTCCACTTAAGTTGCTGTTACCAAAAAGCAACTTAATCAAATATGGAGAGAAAATTAATCATGACATTTTTAAAAATGTTTGATGTATTATAATTACATATAACAGTGGGATTTGTTACATTCTCATACATGCACACAAGACAACAATTTAATTTGCTCAGTTTCATTACCCACTACCTCCTCTTTCGCTCTGCTCCTTCCCTCCCCCTGGTCCCTTCTTCCACTCTATTGGTCTCCCTTCATAAGATACCCTCCTCTTTCCCACCTTTTCCTCTCTAGCTTCCACAAATTAAAGAAAATATATGACCCTGGACTTTCTAAATTTAGCTTATACTTAACAAAATGCTTTCAAGTTTAATCTGTTTTCCTGCAAATGACATAATTTCATTCTTCTTTATAACTGCATAAAACTCCATTGTGTATATATACTACATTTTCTTTACTCATACATCCATTGATGGATACCTAAGCTGGTTTCATACTTTGGCTATTGTGAATGGTGCTGCTGTAATCATAAATGTGTATGTATTACTATTATCCTTTTGATAGGACATATCAACATCATGAAGACGTTGGTTTTCCCTAAGTTAATTTATAAATATAATGTGATCCCAGTAAAAGATTCAATGTTTCTTTAATGACTCTCAATAATTTGATCCTAAAGTTTGCATATAAAAATCCATTTAAAATACTAAATTTAAAAAACTGAGGAGATCATATCTCTATCAGATACTTAAATGTACCACAAATCTATAATTAAACAGTTTTCCACTGGTGCATGAGTGGATAAGCCAATGGGATAAAAGAAGACAAACTACAGATAGAAATTAGTATATAATAAAGGTATTATTTCACAATACTTGGGGCAAAGATGACCTTTTTAATAAATGGTGCTGGAAAAGAAAAAATTTGGTTACACCTTACAAAAAATTAATTCCAAATGGGTCAGAGATTATAATAAGAGAGGGAGGGAGGCAGATGGCTAGGTAAGTTCTAGAAGAAAACATGGGTGAATTTTTCTACAGCCTTGATAGAAATAGGCTTCTTAGTTATAATTCAAGGCTTTTAAACCTATGACTCAAAATCCAGATGTAATAAAGGAAATAATAAATTTAATTTCATAAAAATTTAAATCTTTTATATAAAAATCATAAGCAAGATTAAAACACAATAATCTTAGCTCGGGAGGCTGAGACAGAAGTATTATAAGTTCAATACCAGCCTCAGCAATTTAGCAAGGCCTCAGGCGATGCAGTGAGACCCCGTCTCTAAATAAAATATAAAAAAAAAAAAATGGCTGGGGATGTGGCTCAATGGTTAAGCAACCCTGGGTTCAATCCCCAGTAACAAAAAAGAAAAACAAAAAAAGCCATATACACATTTTTTAAAAAAATTAAAACACATAACTGGGAGAAAATATTTCCAAGGTAAATCACAATTAAAGGGCCAATTCCAAATGAACTAAGGATTTTTAAGAGTTAAGGGCAGAAAGAACAAAAATTTCTACAGAAAAATAGGCAAAAGTCATGAATAGACAAGTTCACAGGAAGAGACAAAAGTGGTTGATAAAAACATAATTTCAATTATAATAAGGGAAAATGCTATTTAAAACCACTCTAGGAGCCAGGCATGGTGGCATACACCTATAATCCCAGCAACTCAGGAGGGTGAGGCAGGATAATCACAAGTTGGAGGCCAGTCCCAGCAACTTATCAAGACTCTTTCTCAAAAATAAAAGGCCTGGGAATATAGCTCAGTGGTAGAGCACCCCTGAGTTCAATCTCCAGTGCCACACACACTCAAAAGTACCCTGAGATGCTATATTTTTACCCATTTAATTGGTAAAAAGTACACAATATACTTTTTTGTTGAGGTAATGGAGAAATAAGCACTCTTGTATATTGCTATTGGGAATGCCAAATGATACAGGCTTATTTTGTTAATCAGCTTTTCATGGCTATAAGAAAATACCTAAGGTAGCTACTTACAAAAGGTTTATTTTGACTCCTGATTTTAGAGGTTCGAATCCATGACTGAGTAGGCCCATTGTTCTTGGCCTCTGGTGGGGATGCAAGGTGGCAATGGTGATGCACAGTGGAGCAAACCTCTCACCTCAGGGCCAGGAAACAAAAGAATTAGAGGAAGGACCCAGGGCCTCCACTATCTCCTTCAAAGGCACACCCCTAACACCTAAGGATTTCATATTAGGCTCCACCTCCTAATAGCATCAGCCTAGGGACAGT